AGACTTAACTGGAATAATACATTTGTGGTAGACGCTAGCGCTGGTATATCTTGTCTAAGTCGAGTTTATCGACTGCAGATATGGCGGGTGCTTACACTTTTTTTGGTAGACGTCCAGTGGCTGAGTATACGGTTGGGACCGTACTGTTGCAGTTGAAGTATACGTCCAATAGTGTTTAGTCTCAGGCTTAACGAAAGGGGGTTTTCACCCTTCGGGTTTCCTCCTTAATCCCAAAAGTACTCAGTGGGAAGACGCTGCTTGATTGCATTCTGTCTACTAAAGTGCTGCTTGCCTCGCCGATTATCTGCGCTACGTGCCAGATTATGAACCGAAGACTTAGAAGCTTTACAGAGTACAATCTTGGAGTTTCGTGGGTGTATGATGGCTACATCAAGTGTGGCGTCGTCAGTTGCTGGTAGTTCGGTGGTCATGACTGCCAGTGCTGGTCTCGGTGCGTCTTCTGGAGTGAGTACGGCGACGACTGGTGCTGTGCTTTTCAGTATTGGAGTGAGTGGAGTGATCGTGAGCTCTATGGCTTCTGCAGTGACCTCTGTTGGTTTGGGTGGATACACTGGTGGTGGATTTACGTTTCTTGGATCGGCTGGAAGTGGAGCAGCGCCGAAGGGTGGAGTGAATGTTGCTGTAGGTGCTGGCGCTGTAGCATCGCCTCCGTCAGTGTGGGCTCCACCGATGGCAGCAGTTTCAGCGTGGCCAACAGCCCCGTCGTCGAGACCAGCAGCATTGGATCGGCAATATCAGGTGCTGGAGGATTTGCAGCACCACCGATGATGACCCCACAGTTTTCCGGTGGTGCATTTGGGATGAAACTAGATAATAAACCTCCAGTAATGCATGGAAGCTTCGACTTATATGCAGTTGAGTTGGAGACTTTCTTGAGGCGCGTGAATGTTTGGAGTGGGATCGAAGATCCAATTGGTGCACGATCTTCGACAAGTGACACTCAGTTTGCTATGATGGATAATATTGCTCGTGGTGCCATTCTACATGGTGTACCGACTGCAGATGCTGAGCTAATCTGTCATGAGATGAACGCTCACGAGATGTGGACACGTTTCGGCAACATGCAAACAAAAAGGGAATACGCGAACTATATATTCGCGAGACAGCAGCTGTATGCAAACAAGTATACTCATGAGAGAAACATGAACGACTGGCTGCGTGAGATGCAGCTCCAGCGTAATGAGTTACTACATTACAAGAAGGTTATTTCTGACGAAGAATTTGCCGAGATTCTCCTGAGTAATGTGCCGCAGACGCATCGCGAAGTTGTTCGTCAATTCTCGAAACACTATGATCCTGGCTATCAGCATTCTGCCCAATCTTCTGCTCAAGTGATGAACGCTCTTCGAGCTGAGTCGGAACTTGATGCACGGAGTGACGAGCCTATACAAACTCCAAATATCTTGCCTGCACAAGCTGGCAAAAAGCAAGGCAAGTCACTGAACCAACAGCATTTTCAACAAGGAAAGACAAAAAAAAAAAAAAAACGTGGGCGTGGCCGGTATAAAGCAAAAGGGAATCAGAATCAGAATTCTAGTGGTTCTGGTAGAAAACAAATTGGTAAGAAAAATGAAAAGGAGGGCCAGACAACCGTGAATGCTGGAAATGTCACGAAACTGGTCATATTCAGAGGAATTGTCCGCGTTCAAAACGCGACGACGATGAGTCGAAGTCGCAACTTCCAGAGCGTAAACGTTGGGAAAATAAAAAGAAATCTGGAAGAAGTGGTGGCAGTCAGAGACACGTGGATATGGTGTCGCGTCAGTTCTGTAATGTGGAACCTACGGTAACGCAAAACGCAATTGATATTGGTGTTGAGTGGGTACTCGATTCTGCGAGCGACTATCACGTGTACACGACTAAGGAGTTGGTTACAAATTTGCACCAAGATGATGGCCCGTTAGTGTTTGACTAGGAAGGAGTCCCATCCAGGAACAGAGGGCAGGTTGGAGAACTGAGAGTTCAAGTGAAGAAAGAAAATCAGTCTCCTGCAATTTTGTCGCTCTGTCTCTCTGAAGTATTGTATCTTCTGTGTGAAAG